ATAAAAAAGGTATATTGTATAAAGAGTCCTGTGTAGAAATGTATAATAACACTGTGAAGTGATCCGATTATCTTAGGTGTGTCTCAGTGCTTACGCCACACATCCAAGTGATCAATGAACAAACTTTCAGTGTAAAGCCGTGCTCCTGTATCCACACTTAATTCTGCTCACCTTCTGATGTGTACCATAACTACAATGTTTTAGTAAAGTCACTTGTGCCCTCCCACACATTGTGGGGACAATGGTCCAAAATTGTAATGCTGTACTTCCTTTTTCACATGACTATAGTCTGTGCAATCAAATGGTTTAGCACATTTGACAAAATTAATACACATGTGCACACATAAATTCTAAAAATTTGTACATTTCCATTATCTGAATTTTCATTCCTTAACAAGAACGAACAGTGATCGCGTTTGCTGCAGTCAAAATGCCATCAATAGCTGCTATATGTGAATGGATGGTGGCCGTCATGTTATTTGCATTGTTTGGACTGTTCTCTGTTGACTTCTGGCACATTGATGGACACTTCTTCCATGTAAAGAAAAGGATAGCCATTCCTAATGAAATACAAGTTTCCACTCTCACGCTGACTACGTAAGGATTCTAATGCACTTGCTGTGGAACTGAAGTGCCTCTCTGGTTAGTTTTTGGAGAATTCCAAGGGTATTAATTTATTTGGATTTATCAGGATTACCATTCCATTTGGATATCAACCAAAACAAGCCTTGATTAGAGCCAAAGGTTCTACACATTTCAGTATTTGACTGTGTCTGATACATTTCAATGCAACACGATGTTCCTTTTTTTTTTTTTAACAAAAAATTTTGTTAGGGCTCAAGATGATGTGCCCACTTAATGTTCAATTTGTACTACCCCAATTCAAGACAAGCATTGTCTATATACATTGTGCATCTAAGTATCTTAGAAACACCAATTTGTTGATTGATCTTTGATCTATCTAAGCTAAACTCCATGCGAATAGGTTACTACACAGTTCAAATACATATATGTGAACGGCTGATACTGCTTCAAAAGTAGTCATTCAGTTTAGTTAGTCCAGAGAGCCAGGCACCATTGCCAGACAAAACAAGGTCTGATAACCCCTGTTATCCCGCAAATAAGCAAAACAGTTTGTTCACTGACTTAGCCTTTCTACTTACTGGACAATGCAGGAGCAGTAGCAGGATCTTTAATTCTGGCTGTTGAGAGCTCGGGGGCTGGTATATTTTTGTATTGAAATTCTCAGCAACTGCTCCCGGACAAGGTATTTGTACAAAGCAATGGGTGAGTTTAGTGTAAGGACTAAATTTATAGGTTGTTTTGGTTATTGTTAAAGTCAAGAATTAGGGGTCCAGACCGTCCAGCTAATATTTCAGAACTAAGATTAGCATTAGACTTTAGGGGAGGAGACTATGGGATCTACTTATAAACAATTGTCATTGCTTATTTATTCAGCAAAATTGCATGTAAATTTGTTCTGTGTGAGTTACCCAGCTGTTGTGATAAAAAAAATGCTCTCTTCTGGTTGAATGTTCTTCAGTAGTATAGAACTGAGTGAATGGGGAAAATATCACAATATGGTCACTACTGGAGCTGAGGATCATAGGAAAGAAATACATTTTGCCCTCTGATCCTCAGCGCCATCTAGTGGCCATATTGCGACATTTTCCCCATTTACTCTGTATAAATATACTTGTAAAAGGCGTTTGCTTACCTGTGTCAGCTACGTGCATACATCGCGACAACACCCACACTCAAACATGCTGAATTGAGATACTGACCTGGAGTGTGCCAATTTGTTAAAGTAAAAAAAGTGGTAAAGTAATCAGGCCTGTATGAAACCCTGTGTTGAACCCTTCCGTCAGGAACGTCAGAAACGCTGGATCAGGGAAATCTTTCAGCAAGCAGGCCAACGCGCCCACATCCACCTGGCTTAGTCAAGACGATTGCACGTTCTTGGCAGTGCAAGCGACTTTCGGGTGGGCTCTGAAACATGTAGAACAGATATGCAACAACCTGCATTGTGGAAAATTACAAGATTTGTAATTGTAGTTGTTACAAATCTGTGCTTTTCCTAAGCACTGTATGGGCCTACCTAGCTTACCGAACTGTGCCGGACCTGTGGCAGTCGAGCTGGGCAAGAACCCTGCTGGCTTGTTTGCTGTGGTCGTATCTGTCCCCCCTGGCGTAGGGCACCAGTCCACTGTGTGGGCTGAAGACTGGCACGAGGTGCACACCGGGGCTTTAAGACCGGCAAAATGTCTGCAGAATATTTCAGTATCTACCCTGCCCCAATCGGCGGTGAACTGGAACTGCGCCAGACCGGCAGCCGCTTTAGCTGAAAACGCCCGGTCATAATCATAGTATGCAAACCCTCCATACTTATATGAAAGATCCACCACTATATGCAGATACGCGTCCAGCTCTTCCCTAGGAAGTGACGCGAACTGCAAACCGGAAGTGACGTATCGCTCGAGAACTTCCCTTCTGCCGACCACCGCACGCCCTCCTCGTCTCGGCCGGCCCTCTTTTAAGGAGATGAGGGGGCGCAAACCCCTCCCACAAATACAGGCTAACTTGTTAGCCTTCCCACCTATTGAAAAACATTCAAGCAGAGAAATTATACTCAGAAACATTTTTCCCCCGTTCCTACAACAGCTGGTTAACTTGCACAGAATGTAATTACATGCAGTTTTGCTGGACGAATACGCTATGCAAATTGTATATAAATAGACCCCTAAGTGTTAAGCGGTAGAAGTTAAAGGGACTCTTTCCATTGCCCATGCAGGGCAAATTAAAAAGGTTACTTAATTCCTGTCTCCAGCAATACATTCACAACTTTCCTTACTCCTGTGCTGCTCTGTTCCACTGCCATGGCTGGGGGAAAAAATGCCCAGTGTATACTCCAAACTCGCTTGTCTGAACTTGCACAAGATTATGAACTCCTTGCCCAACCTCATGTCACACACTGGATCAATTATGAGGCACCTAGTGCTGTCACATGCCTATTTCCATCCATACAAATGTATTACAGAAGTTAGGAACCATCACACAAACAGAGACACCACCCATCCATCCATACAAATGCAAGCATATTATAAATATATAGTTAAGGAAAGGTAAGTATGTACTGCTGGAAAGAGGGAGAGTTACAGTGCATGACCCTTTTAATTTGCCCTTTATAGGCAAAGTTAGAAGTTAAAGGGACTTTGAACAGTTTTGTATCTGTTCTCTTTATTATATTCAGGGCTAAAAATTAAAATGTATTATATATTAATACAATCATTTTTTACATTTGTGTTAGGTAAATGTTTTTAAATGTTTTGCTCTAACAAAAAAAGCCTATTGTTTACAGAGCTCCATAGCTCAAATGCAGGCACAGTTGAATGAGCCAGGGGAGTGGCCTATCCCCCCTCCCTGCTTCTTCTTTACAAATCCATGCAGATTTTTAATTAGAGATAGAAATCTGAAAGCAAACAGCTTCTACTGTTCTCTCTGTTTAGGAAACCCACAGTGTGACACCAGTGTCCTGAGTGCACCCTGTATTACATGTTTGTAAAATAAATCGTTTCTATAAATAGTAAAAGTAGAAAAAGACATAAAACTTCATGTTAAAAATATATTTTTTTAAAAATAAAATAAATCTAAACCATGTTAGTTTTACTGACGCTTAGGCTGATGGTTAGACGTTGGTGTTTATAAGTAACACCAAATATATTTGGCCATGACTGTATATATAGTGTTAAATTGACCCCATTGCTAGATTGAAAGTGAACAACAATGTGCCCCCAGCAAAAAAAGAGATTTCATACCTAACTTCTCCTGTAGCAGATTCAGAGATACAGCTACCTGAAGAATCTTTTTAATCTGATTCTTCTGGGATTGTCTTCAGCCGTTTATTACATCAGTACAGATCGCACCACTGAACCACATAGCGCAGTAGGAGACCAGGCATCAGACATATCTTGAAGTATTAAAGGTTAGTTGTCAGGAGGTGCGTTAGTGTTGTTGGGGACACTAAACAGCATAGTAATAGGAGATCTGCAGACTTTACACTTGCCAAGTTCTCAGCACTGACATCTAATGCATCAGCAGCAGCACCCTAGTAAGGTCTTCCTTGTGCACTCCCCCTTATTAAGGAACTGTGTCACTGAAATTAAAATAAAATTACAAAGCTCCTGTAAAACAAGAAACTTTATACTTGCTTGTCCTGACAGCCATTCATAGAATCATTGCTCTGTTGCAGTAGACATCTGACCAAGGAATCTTTGCATACATCACACTTCTGGATGTATTGGATGCCTGCGTCCCCCGTCACACTCTGATGGCCCCTAGGTCACTACTGTGTCCTGCAATGGCAAAGGGCACGGCCAGGGACACATGCATTCTACACATCAAGAGGTGTGTACATGATTCTTTGGGAAGCAAAGATCCTACAAATGGGTGCCAGGACAGGTTAATATAAAGGTTATTTTTACTGTAGCATTTTTTCAGTGACAGAGTCACTATTAACTTGTTTACAATGATATGGACTAGACATGTGCACTGCCAAAAAATTTGTTTAGTTTCGTTTCGTTTTAAATTCGGATTTGTGTTATTTCGTTTTTCAGGATTCGGGTGTGAAAGTCAATTCGGATTCGGAATTCGGATTCGGACGAAATTCGGTAGCGTTAGTACGAACGTTCGTTTCGTTTTCTGTTCTTATTCGTTTCTTATTCGTTTCGTTCGTTTGCAGCAAAAGTGACATTCGAGGGGGAAAAAATATTTTTCTCCTTCTCTAATGTCACTTTGCTCCAACGAACGAAACGAATAAAAACAAATAAGAACAGAAAACGAAACGAACGTTCGTACTAACGCTACCGAATTTCGGAAATGGAAATTCGGATTCGTTTGCATTCGTTATGTCTGTAATTCGGAATTCGCATACATCCGAATGTCCGAATTTCCGAAAATTCGTCCGAATTTCGATTCGGAACGAAACGAATCGCACATGTCTAATATGGACTGTGTAAAGCAATACAGCCTTGACTGGCTCAAAGTACTGACCATGTACTGCTGTAATCGCTTGTTGTGTACGTGAGTACGTGATTTTTTAAATGTGTATAACAAACATGTAACGAATATAAAATTGGTGTTATCCCAATTTGGCTGTGACAGTGGAAATATACTTTAACTGGGAGAACTGAAGAAAGAAGCTGATTGGTTAGTATGGGCAACTGTTCCAGGTTCTGTCTGCTCCAGTTGTGATAAATCACCCTCATTGCATTTAAAATACATCTAACTATTTGTAACAAAATCATTTTTCACATCTGCCTGAAGCCAAGTTTTGAAGTATAAGTTCTCCTTTTGCAAATGTTTTTTTTAAATAAATTCTTTATTTTGAAATTTTTCAACTTTTTGTAGACAAAAAAAGATTGTTAAGGACAATTACAAAGAAGTAGGTATGACAGCTTTGAAAAACATTAAAGAGAAAAGAAGTTCCCGATATGTAGGGGTCCAGGAGTCAGTGAGCAAAACAACATCATGTAGTATTCCTGACGGTACAAGGAGACAGGTTCGCGGCATATTCATGTCAAAAGTAAATATAATGAATACCAT